GGAAAGAAGATTACCTCGAGATCTTCGGTAGCTTTGGCAATTTTCGAGAAAACCACTTGTCCTTCCGTCAAGTCTACATCCAGCACCCGAACTTCAACACCATACTTTTGTCTGATCTCAGCTGCATCGCTCTCTAGTTTTTCTAGGCATCGTGAGATCAACATAACGTCTAAACCCTTTCTCGCGAAACATTCGGCGAATGCTTTTCCAATGCCACCGGTAGATCCGGTAATCACTGCCCATCTACCCTGTGTCCTCAAGTCCAGACCGAAACCAAGGCTGGGTCCTATCAGTTTCTTCCACGCAAGTTTGCTGACTCGTAATAAAATTCGTAGGCCAATCGCCCCTAATACGACCAGCGATACTTTTTCCAAACACGTGAATGTCATCCTAGAATGATGAAGAATTCGATGTAGTTCGTGGTTCTCTTCTTTGGTTCGAACAGACTAACACGAGTAAAACGATTCTCTCGAACGATCAAGCGCGTTTATCGATGTTATTTACATACCACCATATGTCATTCTTCCTACAGGTATTTCCATCTTCGAGTTCGAGTTACCACCACCTCTTCCTACCTCTGCCCCTAATTTCTCGATAACGCGATTGAATCACTTAGTCATTTCCAGTCTTAGAGGTTATAAATGCAACTTTGGACTTCTACTATCACATCGTGCCACAATATGCAAAAATTTGTTTAACATTGATTACGTTTCACTTACGCGAACTCGCTAGCTGTTTTACGCGCCAATACATTTTATCATATGCATGCATTTCCGCATACGTTAACATGTTTGCACGGTATTATAATATATCATATAACAAACTGGCTATAAAATCAAAATAACCCTGGATAATGTTAATTTAAAGGCTCAACCCATTTTAACATCCTTTTAAGCACCCAAATTAATTTTACGGATAAATCGGAATACGATCGTCGTTGTATCGTCTCGTAATGTTGAAAAAGTAGGTGAGCAGAATAATTAATGAAAAGATTACGCACATGTTTGCATGCGTAAAAAACTGTATCGTGATTTTAGCATTTGCTAATCGACGCGTTACCGTTCCCTGGCAACTTGCAAATTCGTTTACGTTTCCTTTTCGTGTCATAAAATAGATCTAGCAGAGATGACACGTAAGCGTGATATACATTGACAGTTTCAGCTTACCTGTATTTGATATCGTTGAAACTGATCGGAAGCGATGACAGCACAACAATGAAGTTCCTCTTTTGATTGAACGTATTCCTCCACGATTCGACAGAAACGCTGCCGTAAATGTGATACGATTAAGCTCATTAAAGAAATATAAATGAGAAAAGTGTCTCGGTTGAGAAAACGGAGAAAAATCTATGTAGTCACACTCGTGTATCCCGCGCAAAAACTATTCCGATTAACTGGCCAAAATATCGACGAGAAGAAGATATACATAGAAGAATACGCGAGAACTAATGAGCTTCGAACGATTCAGAGCCGACCGATCTCGAAGACATCGAACATCAGACCAGGTCACGGAAGGGTACGGAAGAGAGTACTGGAGAGAAAGCGGAAACAGGAGGAGAAAGGGGGAGTGAAAGGAAGGGTGGAAGGGAAGAAGGGAGGAAAGGCGGCGAGGAGGTGAGGAGGAGAAAAAGGAGGATGGGAAGAAAATAGCATAATAGTAGAGGAAGAGATGGAAAGTAGAGAGAAGCACGAGGAAGCGAGAAGAAGCGAGATCGAGGCACGGTCGATGATGGTAGTAGCGAACATTGCGGAGTTTGCGCGGGCGCAGTCCATGGATGCGGATGCGGATGCGAATCCACGCGCACACGTTCGACACGCGCGTAGTTTGGATGTTTAGGTATATAGATGCGTAGATGGACGACGGGCAATGTCAGCGTTAAACTAACCCAGAAGAAAGTTGCTGCTTCCACCTTTTCTTTCGGCTAAGAGTGGGGAATGGTTAACTTTTTCTTTGACACACTTTGCTTTGACACACACACACTCTTCTGTGGCAAATACTCCCGATTGAAAAAGTCGAATGCCAAAGACGATCATTTTTCCCCGCATTTCTCTTTGCCTGTATCGCTACTATTGTACTTTAACGTATCAAGAAATATACTTTAACGTACAATAGCGTATACGTGTAAACGCATATAGAAAACGCGGTTATGAGTTTAATGTTTCTTTATTTTCCCGTTGCATATTATACAAGTTTCTCTTTTTTTTCCGTTTCTTTTTTTGCATTTTTCTTACTGTGATTGCTTTCCCATTTATATATAGATTAGATTAATTTATTCGTTATGAAACGATAAATTTAAAAGTCGCAAACGACCAAGAGCTCTGACAAGCTTCGATCGAAGTTATGTAACGTTTATAAGCATTTATTGTCCCCGTTTATTCATTTACGTTATAATTAGCATACCGACAACTGCACCGTATGCTTTTAGTGGATTAAAAAACATTATGCTCATTGTACTTATTTCAATTCTACGTAATATATAGGAACAATGCATAATCGATTCGTATGTGTACGATAATATCCATAACGTATAAAACGATAATAAACAGAGAATTATAGATAAATTCGAAGAAGGTGATGACACGAATAGACGTTAATAATTCTCAAACGTGCAAGTCGGTGGCGTTAATTAGCTGCTCGGAAGTATCGGGTATCATTCCTTTTGTTCCTGTTTTAACAACACGACGACCAATCAACATAGTAACATTGCGATGCGCCTGATGCATAGTTTGTAGGTGGAACCGCCTCCAAAGTAAAGCCTTAGTATCGAAAGATTTTGTCCAATCCTGCCATTCTCCACGAGTTATCTTCTCACTCTCCATTTCCAATATCTTCTCGATTACGTTACGTAACCATACATTCCAATCCTTGGCTACATCGCTGATATAGGCCAACCATCTAGTCCAGTCCCTAATTTCTTTTGACTCTACTTCCGGCATGTATTGTTCCATGAATGCAATTTGTGATTTACTTAATATCGTTCTTAACCAGTTTGCGATCTTTCCACATACTACGTTCATAATAGTCTTTAATTCTTCCGTTAAAAGATTCGGATCTTCCAACCTCACGATATTACTCAACTTTTCGTAAATTGCACGATGTATACCATTTGTTATTGGATCTTCACCCGTGTTTTCTGGAGTACTTTCGATCATCTTAGAAATAGTATTGATAATTTTGTCGAACGTAAGGAAAGGAAGATCCGTTTTCAATAATTCTTCTAGACCTTTGATAACATCTGTATCTTTGGGTAATTCTTTTTCAATCTTTTCTGGCGATATTTTTACTTCGATTTTTTTCTCTTCTAATAATTTTGTAATTTCGTCGTTTTTCGCCGCATCCACATCTACGACTTGGTCTTTCTCTTCATCAACTTCAATCTTTTCCGGTTCTACTTCTGATTCAGGTTTCCGCACTGGTTCTGCTTCTGGTTCCGGTTCCGGTTCCGTTTCCGTTTCCGTTTCCGGTTCTAGTTCTGCTTCTGGTTCTGATTCTTGTACTTGTTCTGGTTCTGGTCCCGGTTCTGGTTCCGGTTCCGTTTCCGGTTCTAATTCTAGTTCTGGTTCTGGTTCCGGTTCTGGTTCTGGTTCTGTTTCCGGCCCCGGTTCCGGTTCCGGCTTCGGTTCCGGTTCCGGTTCCGGTTCCGGTTCCGGTTCCGGTTCCGGTTCCTGTTCCGGTTCCGGTTCCGGTTCCGGTTCCGGTTCCGGTTCCGGTTCCGGTTCCGGTTCCGGTACTGGTATTATTTCCATATCCGGTCGTGCTTCTACTTCCTCTTCAACTTGCGCTGTGGGTTCCGTTTGTATCTCGGTTTCCATTTGTTCTTCTGGTTCGATTTGAGTTTCTGTTTCCATATCCACTGCTAATTCTACTTCTGTTACTTCTGCCTCTTCTGGTTCATCTTTACTTTTTTCCTCGTATTCTTCATCTTCTATTACTAATTCGTCCAACTCGTGTGTTATCTCTTTCTCTGTGTCATCTACCACTTTTGTATCCTCTTCCGAGCCAATATCTGTTTCGTATTCTTCACCTTCCTCTTCGTACTTCCTTTTAGTTTTGTCCTTATCCTCGTCCTCTTCCTCATCTTCTTCCTCCTCCTCCTCTTCTTTATCTATTTTCATTTGCTCTTCTTTCTTCCTACATCGTTCAATGAGCTTCTCCTCTTGTTGTTGCGCAACCTCGGACAACACTCCAGTTATCCAACAGGCTATTACATCGGCCAGATAACGTACCTGTTGCGATTTACGATCTTCGTTTTGCGAAGGATTATGTTCAAGAACATCTGAGAGTCGTCCAACTATCACTTCCGCAACATCGTTGAATTCGGAGTTAGGAAATGAACATTTCCATTTCAAAATACTTCGAACGAAACGTTCAGCCATAAGATATTGGCAACAAATTGAATCTCTGTCGAAAGATCCTGTACTCGCAACACCGACATTTGTTCTTTTTGATTTGCTTGCCTCTTTATATTGCCACTTATCCGTTTTTCCTTTCCTTTTCTTTCCACGGGACTTCTTCTTGTTCGAAATTGTTGCGGCTTGTCTAAACAAAATATTTCTCATCCCTGAATTTGATGATACTCGAAGAAATTTAGAAATTATCCTTAATAATAAGATTATAGCAATTGTTTCCTGATCCTATTATATCCATTTCAGTGAAAAACAGAGAAAAGCAAAGAGTGGATGTTACTTATAAAAGGAATTGATTAAATCGATACGTTACTCGGGTGTTAAACAAGTTTCATTCTCCACGGTTCGTACGAGGTTATCCAAAAGAGCTGGGGGTAATATCGACGCGCCATATTGTAAAGTCATTAACATTCGTTGTCTTGTCGGTTGAGCCAATTCTTTGATTCGCGGTGAAACTGGTTTTAATTTCTTAAGCACCATCTTTTTGTGACAATCCGGCGGACATTTTCGACTACATAAAAGTAAAAGAATGTTTCATTGCGTTCACTCCTCTGAAAAACTAAAATCAGTCTGATCATTAATAAAATCCAAATTTTCACCTAGGTGTCGCTAACATATCAATATAATCCTGTTTCGTCAAACAATGTCTAGGTATAATATCCAACTTTGGAAATGTACAGGGTTCTCCAAACACCGAAACCATTGCGAATTTTGCGGTCCTTTTCCTTCTTTCTCTTTGTTTCTGACAGCAATCGTCGTTCGATTTTTCTGCATGCTACTGAACAAATTTGGTATATAAAATTCATCACGCATTTTTTTTTTACAAATTAGTAGTAAGTATTGGTAATATTTAGTATTAGTATTAGTAGCATTAATAGTACATATAGTAATCTCAATTCCTTGTGAAAAAGAAATAATAACGCATTAATTTCGCGTTAATTATACAAGATTCAGTACTAAGCGATATTGAATTACCACAATCACATTGAGTTGTTTTCACAAAATATACTCAAGGTATATATATACATACATACATACATACATACACATCATATAACTGGCTAATGAATGTTTGTTTGTTACTTCTAGTCTACTCTAGACGGTAAAAATTTTTTCGCTGAATTTTCCAGAAAATGTAACTCACAATTAATACAGATTTATACTACTTAATAAATAAAATATCCAAAATAATAAAAAAAAATCTGAAAATATCGAAAGTATTCGATTTGCCTTAGTTTTTTTTGAAGATGGTTTATCACAGTGTTCCCATCTTTTCTTTTTTTTTACTATTCGTGGATAACCTTCAAACGTGTCATCCTTTTGTCCTCTTTTTATTTCACGATCGACGGAAGTAGCTCGTTTAACATCTTCTGGAGAATCATCATTCTTTTCCATGGTGATTTTTTCTACGATTAATATACATATATGCGTATATACATATAATATTGTTACATCATGTATAACGTATACACATAATTACAGTACTCTCAAGAATTTTATTCTTATCTCTATAATTTTTATGTAAATGATATATTTCGGAATAATTTCTTTACTGATCGTACCTGACGTATAATTACAATTTGTAAATCCAATTAAAGATAGAAATTGTTACGATGTATTCTGTTTTCTATTATTCTCTTGCTCTTTGTACGCTGAATTCTTTCTTTAAATTTTGAAAATTTAGTTTTGAAATAGATCTACTTGAAATTTTTTTTACATTTTACACAAAGATCCTAGAAATGTGAAAGGTTATAAGAGATAGGTTAGGAGAATTTGTTTTGTTTCAAAAGTATAGATTTTCATCTCATTCGATGTATCTTATATTTAGTGCATAGATATGATACGCAATCAACGATATTATGTACATGAACATGAACTGAGAGAGGGAGGGAGGAGTGTGGGAAAGAGAGACTATATCATATGGTAAAATGGCAGAGGATATTCGCACAGACGAGATAATATTCGGGTACAGTGGATAAGGTCACTGGAGAACACTAGTGACTGAGACGCCAGGACAATGGTGATTGCTCCTACAAACTTCAACGGCAGCTAGAAGATGGCGGTAGCTACGATATCAGTGCTCGACACTGATAGCTGCTCCGTTTACTAATCGATCATTCCGGGTGTCGGGAGTCGGTGCAAAGTAGATGCAAGTTGGTGTGCCTATTTGAGAGGACGCATACTGTACAAGGACACTTGGGAGCAAAAGAAGTGTTTCTAAGATATGCGGGTGTGTGAAAATAACTGTTGCTCCTGCATAAGCAACCCGTGATACAGGTGTTTCAGCACAAGATGCTAGTTAAAATTGTGTCTTGAAAAATGTTGAGAACCAACGACAGCCACTCATCGAAACGAAACGGTGTTTGAAACGTCCAACGATACCTTCGCGTCGTTGCAGTACCGCGCCGAGTGGTTACGATTATGATGAGATAACAAACGCAGAATGAAATACAGTGGCAGTAACCTTCTTGGTTATGCAGTTTACGCGTTTATTCAATTTTTTAACGGTGAGTGAAACTCTCTTTTCCTTTCTTATATACTGATCTTCGACTATTATTACCAATTCAATTGTTTTTTTTTTCTTTTTTTTTTTTTTTATTTCGGTTCCCTCCTCTTTTCTCAGTCAACATTTTTTACTCTTCTCATGGATTTCAACTATTTACATGATATCCACAAGTCTGATTAAATCTTTACTTCAAAATTCCGCGCCTACAATTTAGTGAATCACTGAAATGTTATTTATATCGTTTCAAAACGCCTTATCACATGTCAATATTGATTATTCCTATCACTTTGTATTTATTTCATATTCGGAATTATGTTTTTTTTTTCTTCTTGTTTATATCGTACGGTGATTTTTAACAATAGCTATTTGGTAGATTGTTCGATTGACGTAACGTGCGTATGACGCATGTATTGCCCGCTCACCTGCTTGCTTGATTACTTGGTACGATGTGCGCGTGCCAATTTTTTTATATACTAGCATTCAAGCCTGTCGTATAACTTGTATTTTTGAATGTATTTATAATCAGTAAACACTATTATTAATTATTACTGATAAACCGTATCACATCATAAATAAACGATAGAGTCGAATTTGGAAAAGCATTGTTAAATTTATGTAAATTTAATTTATGAATTTAACTTACTGCATATTTATTTCTGATAATCAAATTAAGGAATAAGTAATAAGTTCTCATGAATATCTCTATAAATATTTTGTAGTTATTCATGCAGAAAGCGGTGTTACCTGCAAAGATCAACAAGGACGATCCTATGAAAATACTTTTATGTACATTCCTGGTCCAGAACCCTGTACATTTTGCGTATGTGATAATGGCAATCCAAAATGGTGTAAAGCACTTCTTTGCAATGCAGAGGTATTTCAAGTGCGAAAATAATAATATTGCTTTGTGCTTGGTATTGTTTTCTTTTTCTATAACTGTAAAATTATATCCGCATTGTGCAGGAATTTTGTAAACCTTCCCGGCATATTTGTTGCCAGTATATTTGTATGGATGATACATTGTTATCTGTACCAAATGACAAAACTGATAGCATTGGTAGCAACACGACAGATGCAATCACGCATTATGATATAGGATTACGATCTGTTGCTAGTTTTGTAACAGCTGTGTTATCATTGAGCCTGCTATTTTTTTTAATACACCGTTTGCGCCAAAGAAAGATACGAGGTACTCTTTTCCATCATATATCAAACATTTTTATTTTAGGAAATTAGACCAAAAATGTTGATTATTTTGTAAAAGTTTGTGTGGCAGGGAGACAAAACAGACAGTTAGCAGAGGACCAAAGAAATCTAGGTAGTATGGGATATTTAGAAAGAGATGGATTATCACATGGTGTACCTATGGATGACATTCCATGTGGAGCTAGTTATGCATTATGGAAACCACCCAACAATTACTTTCCACGTGGTGAGGCTCCACCACCTTATGAGGAGGCAGTAGCAGCAGCACGAGCGGAACAAGCTCTTTTATCGATGAATCCACAAACACTTCCACAACTAAATTTTCCAAACACCTATCTTCCAAACACTAATAGTCGTACAAGTATATCATTTGTAGGAAGTACACAAAGTGGTATAAATGGCAATTCATCAACATTAATTTGCGACAGTGGCATAACGGATCAAACTGGTTTAATCTCAACACCAAGTAGACCAATATCAAATCCGAACATATATGCTAGTTATCGTCAATCGAATCAAAATGAAACGTTATCCCCAGGTGTTAGTGTAGGAACTTCTACGACGAGTTTCACAATGGGAACGAGTACTTACGAGAATTTACCTACTCCCATTGGGATTCCAAACTTTGTTAATCAGCGTCCTGATGTAATTGCACAACCTTTATCTAACTTACAATCTGCTATTCCAAAAGGTTATCAAACGCATACTACTCTTCCTCGTCAAACTGGAGCGTTTACAATATCTGCAACTTTACCGAATTCCAATGTGACTGCACATCGTACGATTCCTAGGACTTTAACAACTCGTACTGGTGCAAAGTTACAAGATATTATAAATGATTGCACACAGAAAGAATTTTTACGCCCTACAATAATGGCAGATCTTACCACGCCGAATTTGCCACATTCTACACAACAAAATGCTGTAACTAAAATGGAAAATACGAATCCAAATACATTTTATGAAGACATGCAAATACAGCCTCCCTCTGCATCTTCTTCGGGATTGCAACAGATTGAAAGACAACCATTAGATCATAAAATGGAAACATCTCATGATTTTAAGGTGTAGTACAAAATGTATCGTTAATACTATATTTTCACGGCACTAATCTTTTAACGTACGTTATATAATGATTTTTATATATTTCAGCCGCCATTGAATATAGCAAATGGAATTAATGAAGAAGGAAGTTTTGAATCAGTAGCATGCACTTGTAGCATGCAAGCTCTTTCTACTCTTCACGACGATACAGATGATTATAGAAGCGAATGTGAAAATTGCAAGAGTGCAACAGGTTCTCGTTATTACTTAGATAACGAAGATGAATTAATAACTTCTCCCCATGAAACTATGACGTTACATAGAAGACCAGATGAAACAGCTTCGAACGCTACTCCTCAGTATTACAGAACTTCACTCACACTGCCTATAAGTACCCGTCAACGAACAAGGTAATAAAAAAATTATTCTCTTTTGTTGATATTGAAACACTTCACAGTGATTAAAAGTTACTTAATTACAGTTATTAATGATTCTAATAACTTGCAATATAAAAAAAATATATACTCTCATTTTAATGATTTATCATAGTATTGCAAAAAATTGCAGAACCAAAAATTATTAAACTAAAAAACTGTAACATCTTTTACATTGTCTCATTTTCTTTTTCCTTCTTTTTTTTCTATTATTCTGTTTTTCGTGTTTTTGTATTTGAATAATATCTTCTTTCTATTAGTATCTGTTCAATCTAAAGAGTATTTTCCAAATATTAACAAAATGTACAAAATGAATGTAACTTCTTCCAAGATCTTGAATTTACAGTATAGTTTCACAGGTTTTAAATTATATTGATATTTCTTCATATCTAGGAGCACTGGTGTCCGAGAAAATTGGTTCAACCCTATGCCTCAAAGTTCCACAGAATCTTCAGATGAAAATTAATTGCAGTCATGTGTTTACATCCATGCATCATATAATTATTAAAATGATTCATAATACACTATCAGTGATCAAAATTCAATATTATGGGAAATGAACAATGTTCGTATTTTATTGCGTTGCAGAAACGGTGGTCTCACACCGTCGTTAATTAAATTTCGGTATTGCAGTGAAACCTTTTCTATATTGTTCACTGTATATGAGCTGTTCACATACTCAGACTATGTATGATCTATAAGAAAAATGAGTCGCACTTTTGCTCTCACAGTTTCTCCTTACATGTTATTAAACTATGAGAGCAAAGTTTAGATATACTTAATACATAGCAACTTACAATTTCGATATGTTTAAATTAATAAACAACAACTGAAGGGAAAGGTAACTGTATACATCTTTAGAATTTTGTTAATTATGTTCGATGCATATCATTTGTTAAAAGTTAAGTAGAAAAGATTATCTCCTATGGAGTTAAATAACAAAATTTCTTACTCCTTTTTTGTCACAAGCAGTGGTGCATATATTTCTAGAAACTGAATAACGCAATAAAATATAAAGAACAGAATGGTTCACACTATACGCATTGTTACATGTATCATTTATTATTTGACTATTAATTTCAATCTATCTGATACAGTAATTTCAATTTTTATTATTCAATAATATAAGTAAAATGTGAATGTCGGGTAGAATATGAAGATTGCAGGTAAGTCAATGGCAATTTGATAAGTTATTAAAATATTGTTACAACATTATATCATTATTTATATTATCATCATTATTATTATTATTATTATTATTATTACGATAATATTTTTCTACGAAAATTTTACTGTAGGAATTTTTATTTGGTTATATTATTTGAATAGAGTATTTTAATTGAACTAAAAATGTTTTCATATAAATTTTGTTTTTTACTCTGATATCCTGATAAACATAGTCAAGAGTATATTTATTATACAGTGTGCAGTGCACAAATATATATAAATATATATTTTGAAGTCTTTTAAATATATCTTTTAAAATAGAAATACATATCAATGTTGAGTACAACTGCCATGTTATACCAAAATTACATAAATATATTCATTTCAGTTAATTTTTTAATACTTTTGTTACTATTTACTTTTCGTTTAATATAAAACATGATTATAGAATACATAAAGTAAAAAAAAGAAATAGTTTTTTGGTTTGTACATATGCTTGAAACAGATCTATTGGTCCGAATAGTGTGAATCAGCCTTAGTGCGTGTACATATACATAATTACTATGTTATGCTTTCTTTACTCATCATGTTAATGTGACTCTCTCTCTCTCTTCCACGATTTCAGTGTGTGTGCGCGGGTGTGCGTGCACCTGTATGTGTACGTACACATAGTGCGATGTTCATTTTAAAACATAAATTAAAACTCAGGAAAATTATACTTTTTACTTCCTATGTGAAACACTCTATTCATGATCCATTTTTTCTCGAGACTTTTAATGAAAAATTTGTTCATAGTTATGCAGATTTTACATCCAAATTTATTACAAATTTACTCGCATAAGATATGGCGAAAATTTCTACCGACTGATTTTTAAATCTATACAATTGTATTCTATTATGAAGGGAAAAGAAAAATTTTATATGTTAGGGATTGCTTGTGATAACATACTTCATATGCTCTGCAAATACAATGAGTGAAATGCTCATCTCTGATTTGTGATTAATGATCTTTAATATATGTAGTAGGATATGAAATAACAATTCCCTAAGATGCACAATTTCCAACGTCTTTAATATTTGTTTATAAATAGAATCTAAGATTCAGACTGATATTTAATGATGCTAAAATATCTCTGTTTAAATCAATTCAGAGCTACATGTTCACTGAAATCCCTTACATGATACAATACATTCTTTTGCATTATTATGAATACTCTGTAAACTAGTAAGTTTTAAGGTAACTAATTATTGATAATATGTTAAGTGATAATCACAAAAATAATGTGCATTTTATTATCATTTTGATTGTTCTCATTATCATTTTAATTTATCATTCTTTTGCGTTATTTTTTGTAAAGTTTTGTTACATCTGCAAAATTCTTTTACCTAAAGATTACTTAACCAACTATAAAAAAAATATAATTGTCTGTTAACTATAATTATTTTTGCAAACATTTATGTAAATGTAGATATTTGTTATTTCATACAAAAGTATAAATTAATTACATAATTGCTGTTTGCTTATCCCAAAAGATATAAGAATGACAAAGTAAAACTTAAGAAAACAATTAATAATTACTATTGTTGATTTCCTTTAATAATTAAATTGTTACATATATTTCTTGCTTTATATTAATTGGGTACATACAGAAAGTACAGTTGCTGCTTTCATGCTTTTAAAGATGTAAAAGAAAATTGTATGACTAATTGAGACAATATTGGATAAGTTCAAAAGGACGAATGTAACAGTGGCAAAAAATGTTCTCAGAAATAAGTTTTAAAATTATTTATAAGGAGCCAATGTTATTTCATGTACTATCATGTAGCTTTCGTTGCAAACATAAAAAATGATATTAACAATCCATGACATACTACTGAAATAATATGAAAAGGAACATGTTTTAGTCAGAATAGAATAACAATAATCAAATAAAAAGAAAAAATACTTGATCTTAGTTTAGTTCTTTGTCAAATAAGTTTATCGCTTATTATAATATAGTATATAAAAAATAATCATTTGTTAGATATTATTCCCTATAAAAAATTTGCAATAATAATCAAATATTTTGATTTTCTTAAGCACCTTAGATATTATTTTATAGGAAGCACAAATTATGTTAATTTACTGATAAATTTGTTATTCCTTTGTTCATTTAAATAGTGTATTTATATGTGTACATATGTGTTAGTGATTAACAATCAATTACAATTAATAAACCAAGTAAAAGGTTTTAACAACTGAATGACTATAAATGCTAGCTAAATCGTTTATTAATAAGTATTAATATTAATTTTTAACGGAAACAAATACTGTGTGTAGCATTAGACGAAAATCGAAAAGTAATTTAACATCTAGAAATACTAAATTAATGAATTGGGCAATCTTATTGTTATGATTACATTTGTCTGATAGAGCTATACAATTATTCATGTTGATTATCGTTTTATACCGTTTAATCCTAATGGAGATACTTATCTGTTTAATATCTTTATAAAATCTGTAGTTTATTTGCTACGAATTTCATAATTTGGACGAATTGTGCGTGTAAGATAAACATCGATAAAATAAAAATTATTTCCCTAATACTTAATTTATAACATTCGTGATATTCATGTCCGATATAAATACACAGTTTTTTTGAATTTAGTATAAGAAAAGAATAGATCTGTTTGAAGTGTTCTTTCATTGAGTTTTTACAAATAATGTTAGCATGTATGGACATTCGGGTATATCTCAAAATATGCAGGAAATCGCAAAACATATAGAAAATAGCACAAAAGCATAAATAATCAGAAAAAAAATTTAATTAGAATTTTTTTAAGCACAATATTTTATTACGTCTATCATAATACCAAGAATTTTTAACTATGTTATCGCAACTATATAATGTTACAATGATTCTGGATTACATTTTATATTACATATACAGACAATACCCGTTGCATATATAATGTATTTATTCTAAATATTTGTGATTTCATGAGAATTAACTATGTATATTTTTGAAGTTTGGTTACCGCTGTGTTTAGGGTTATATGACAATTTTGCATGATTTATCATTTACAATTCAATATGATTTAAAATTAAATGTTTTTGATTTCTAAAATTTTCTATTTTTAATAAATTTTTTAATGTTTCCATATTTCATATTCGTTCCAACCTTACATTATTATTACACGTGTAATAATTTTAATGATTCAAACAAATTTTTCAATAATAACTTCTTTATGTATATCTTTCATTTAATCGAAATAAATCGAAAAAGAGAAAAAGGAAAAAAGCAATCGTAACAATAAGATCTACATAGTTATATATATGAAAAAATTATATATTTGCAATCTATGAAATTGACAATGTCTGTATGATTACCAAACTTTACGTTAATTATCATTAAAACATTTATTAGTATGATAAATTAAAATTACTATTGTAACCACTTTTTGAAAGTATGAAACCAATATCACTTGATATAGTTATACCTTCGAGATATTGAAAATTATTGAAAATCGAGGAAAAAAAGAACAATGATAAACATCGAACTGTTACATATATTAAATTTATGAATTGGCTTTGATAATTTTTTATTTCTGATATAAATAGATACAAGAAAAGAAAAAAAGGAAAGATTACGTAAAACGTGATGTTTTATAACAACTATTTAATGTAATTTGTAGAAAAAAGTTTCAAATATTTTTCTTTCTTTTTGTAATAAAGGAAATTATTTATTTTTAACGTAAAATTTGTAGATAACTATTGTTTTTCTAATTAAATCAGCGTCGAAATAAAACTAACACATGAATGATACACACTTACATACATAAATAATTGAATAAAATGTAGTAATAGGAGATAGTTATAAAACCGACACTTCCCAAATAAAATTACATTTAAAAAAGAACCGAAGTATACATAAAACGAAAACCGTATGCAGTTATATGTATTTTCAACTATAAACAGACTTTATGAAAATCGAAATCTCTTCTTATGATAATTGACGCATTTCGTGTGTTCACAAAAATCGCCGTATATTACATTCTTGAAAGAAATGTGTTCATTACATAATAAATCTCTTTCTATACTCATACATTCACTCGACGAGAGAAGAGAAGTTGGACTTACAATGAATTGTTTAAGACTCTTGTAGTTCAAACGGTACAAAAATTTGAATTACTTAATTGTTCATCTAGTGATCTTAAATATTGTAAAATATTTATCTGAGTAGGTTTAGAATGAAATCTTTATTGCGCTTACTTGCGTAAGTGAAGTATTATAAATTGATATAAGTTATATTAGAATATTTGTGTCAGTAGTCTATTATTTAATTGTAATAAATCAGTACTTTACATAAGCTACTCGTTATTAACTACTATTTGCGTTTAATTTAATTAATTTTATATTAATTCAATAAATTTATTTCACTAAAATTTAGATATTTTTTGTGTCGCTGAAAATTTACAACAAAGAAGTTCCGATCAAAATTATTTAATATCGTTTGATGTACAAAATTTTGAAACATGATAATGTGACTAATACGAAATTCCAACGATTGGCATAACATTGTGAACATTTTTTTTTTTTTTAATGTGTCATAGTTATGTAATTACTTATATAAGAATTTTAGGAATTTGGCTATAATGAAACACATGTACTGGAGGCATGTATATAAAGTCATGCGCATATGCACGCAACTTGAAAGTCCTATGTAAATAATATAATTACACGCGTACTATACAAGATATATGAATATGTTTCGTTATAACATATTCATAACTGGATAATAATCTGAAATAATTAAATTTTACAAAAAATCATACATGTCAATTATATTTTTTTTTTTTTCATATTTTTAACATAGTACTTTTTTAAAATTATTTTTTCTTTATTCGTGCAACCTAAATAAATTTGTCAATTAAAGAACATAGGCATACATACGTCGAAGCAATATGAATAGTTAAGCTACTATATGAACTACTCGTGCGTGCATGCGCATACATACCTAACCTGTAATACATATCTTCCCGTTGAGATATATTTGAAATGTATAAATGATATGTATGTATATATTTAACGATCAATAAAGTAATTAATTTCGTATGCTTGATATTTTCCTTACTGTGAAGGATAAGACGCTTTGATATTAAATAAAAAAAAAATATTTTTTCACAGCCAATATAGCTTTTTTGCGCGGAAAATGTTTTTGTGTATATTTTACTAATGGTAATAAAAGATGAAGTCACAAGGGTAATACGAGTCACTAATAATTGATAAAAAAAAGTAAAATTTTAATCTACGTTAGAAAATAAAAAACCAAAGTGTAGTAATCGAATGCAATAATGAGAAATTGATGCGCAATCGACTAATTTAATCAGACGCCATCTCGTGCTATGTAAAGGTATCATTTAAAATCAGTAGTTTTCCAGTTCTGTTTCGGCATTCGCTAAAAACGTAATCAAGTACACCAAGAATTGTGACGGATCACGATCCATCACGATAGTCAGAAATAGGCAAGAGGAACAAAGAGGACACGTAAAAGATGGCGGAAGCCGTTGTAGACGGGGCAATGTCCCGATTTTTTTGTCACAAATGCAGTATCGAAATTGAACGTTTATTACCTGTAAGTATGTTCATCCATTCTTTTACATTAATAGTTATATTATTAAATGTAACTCTATTTGTAAAATCACAAATTTTTTGTTTCGAGCTGTCATTTGGTAACACGCGTAAAAACTCTTTTCCTTCTGCCTTTCATTGCGTATAGAAATTCATATAAATATCTCTATTTTATACATTTTCATTTCCACCGTTATATGAGCATATTAAAATCTGTTAATATTTGATTAGTATAAAAGGAAATGTTATTTTAATTAGAAATTTAGTTATACCGAAAAATATATATATTTTAAACAGTTCTATATCTATGTGCTTTAACTATTCCTATTTCTCTTTTTATATATATTTCTGTCGAAATCTATATTTAATGTTTTAAATTGATTTTTTTTTTTAAATAAGTGATAATGTAATATTTCTTTTATTATTTCAAATTATATAATGTATCATTGTACTAAGTATAAATAAATTATAAAATAAACAGAAAAACCATTGATATCTGTTGATTAGCTAAGTCTATAGATATTTTCTTTACAAACATACAAAAATGAGTCAAAAGAAATGTAAAATATTTTCTGCATAATATTTTTATGAAACTACATTTTACATCTTTATTATTATGAGTATATAAAACTATTAAATTATAATATTTGTTTATTTATAATGCGATGTATTGTATAATTCTTTTCTTAGGATTACACGTGTCCAAGATGCTCAAGTGGCTTCATAGAGGAATTGGAAAGCGATAGCAGTGATAATGGATCTAGAATGGATATTAGTCGTGATGTAATTGATGTAAGAGGTGTTTCTTCTAACAGTAGTAGTTAAATTTATATTAACAGTGTTATAGATGATACAAACAATTAATGTATTACCAGTATATATTTCATTGATACTTTGATTAAATATTTATTATGCAGCTTTTGGAACGTTATGCAGATGTTCCCTTAAGAAGGGAATACGAGATGGAATTCTCTGATCAGTTTGAAACACCAGTTAGTTCTAACAGGAATAATGGTACTGCTAATAGAAGACGAGTTCATTGGTCACGTAATGCTCCAGATACACTTCGTTTTAATAGGTATATCATTTATGCTTTCTCAAAAATGCAGGATATATTTAGATTTAAATTTTATTTTTCTTTTCTTTTTCCTTTTTTCTCTCTCTCTCTCTCTTTTTTTTTTTATGTAACTCTTTTTAGAATATAGGTAAGTTGTATTTTACATATGTAGATACATTGATAACACGTTTTCTTATTTAATTCGAATGAATAACTTGAATAAATAAACTTATAACGAACAAAAATTGAAAATTTACTCAATATTAGTTATGTCTTTTTAAAGATATTTCTCAAAAGTACATTATACAAAATTCAAAATTGATATGTATAATGTTATAATTGATTTCAAAATACTCTATTGCTTACACCATTGTATTGGTAGCGATTTAAAATAAATGAAGGAAGAATATTTTTTAATGAAAAAGTTTGAAAATTAATAGAATAATTATTTTTTTAAGTTCATGGAAATACTATGTTACTTTGTCATACTAGAAAATTTTATTTAAAGTATTTTTAGACAACTTCATTTTGCAACAAAAGTGATTCATGAAAGTAAAAAATTTAACTCAATTGATCTAACTGCTTAAATAACTTTTATTTTACCATCTTAAAACATATGGCTTCAAGGAAATAAGCAATACAAACTCACACAATATTTTGTGGGTACTTTGGCAGATAATCATAATCCAATATGTCCACAAAACATTGTCTTTCTGGTCGATAAGCACTTAAGATTGTTGTCATTTATGCACAAAATAAATAATATACGAGATAATGTAATATATGGATTTATAAATTTAAAAATTCATCTTTGTGCTTTAAAAAAGTATTTGTATTGTAAATATTTACACATATATACATATATATAGGTGTATATGTATAATCGGTTGATTATTTTTATTTTAAGCAGGGGTCGTGCAGGACAGGAAGTAATGCCTACAACTCTAGAGAATATTATACAAGATTTTGTATTAAATTTCTCAGGATTAGCTCAAGCTGCACAACTACCTGTGTATGTACAACAGTAATTTTTACTATGCGCTCATTAGCTAAATAAGTACATATCCAAGCATGAGTGTGTGGATTGCTTAAGTTCACCAATTTTGCAAGCATACGAAGTGAATTAGAATTATACAGATAAGGAAATTATACTTTATGTAAAATTATTTTGCTTTATGCATGTTATCTACATAAAATATTATCCTGAGTGAATTTAAAAGCAATTTTTAATTTTTAATTCATCCGCATGAAAAGAATCTTTTTGTTTAACATATACAATAGGATATTACAATATTTATCTAAAAATTAAAAGAGAAGTATATACATGTTTTTCATAAAAATTATAAAGAAATTAGAATCAATTTTCAGTGATTATTTTTAATGTCAATATTAATATTGGATGTACAAGAAAAAGTAATATTCCATGTATATCTTTCAAGTACTTATTTCTTCGGGTATTAATTACATTAATATTAGCAAAAATTCTTTTATTGCAAATATAATTCTTTATATATTTTATACCCTTTTCTTTACTTTTGTATATTATATGTTTCAAATAGCATATAAATAGATAAAAACATTAAATTTCGTGCATATGTATGCTTGCCGGTCTATCTGTGTGCGTGCGTGCGTGCGTGCGAGCGTGTGTGTGTGTGTGTGCGCGCGCGCGCGCGCGTGTGCGTGCGTGCGTGTGTTCATACGTACGTGTGTGTGTACTTATATATTTATTTATTTATTTATTTGTTGGTATAAAATTTGAAAGATTTTATACAAATATTCATGACTCTTTTTTTAGTGGAATTGAAAATAATTAAGTAGGACTTTGAAAATATGATACATAGGAAAAAGGAATAATAATTAAAGATTAATTTATTAATTAGTCAATGTTAATATTGCAATTAATCAAGAAAATAATCAGTAAATAATAATCCGTAAAAAATATTTATTATTAAAAGTTTGGGGATAATATTCATAAGTATCTATTTCCTTTTCGCAAGTAGAGATTTTAATAAGTAATATATATTATTATATGAAAATTCTAATTTGATGAAAAATATATTAATTTCATATATGTACTGAGTCATAAATTGGGGAATAATATTATAATTAATAGTTGAAGTTCATTTTTGTATTCTTTAGGTTATGTAGATAAACATATATTTACAAAGTATAGAATAATGGTATAAGAAGAAGCATTAAAAAGCTTGTTCACCCAGGATAAAAGTCATTATTATTTTATTTGATATTTGGTATTACTAAAATAAAGCACAATAATGTAGATTCAATATTAGACTGTTCTTGGGAAATCCTGGAGATTATGTTTGGAGTCAAGATGGCTTAGATGCGATTGTAACACAGTTATTAAATCAAATGGATGGAACTGGACCACCTCCTTTGCCACGAAAACAAATCGATGAAATACCAACTATAACTGTGGATCAATTTCATGTTGGTGAGTAATACACGCATATTGTAATTTATAAGAGAGAAAATTAAATCAGAGATTAATAATAATTTGTTTTTAATAAATTGTTTATGTAGATAGTAAACTTCAATGTTCCGTTTGTTGGGAAGACTTCAAACTTTCTGAACCAGTCAAACAACTTCCTTGTTTACATCTGTATCATGCACCATGCATTGTACCATGGTTAGAATTGGTAAGTTAAAGAATAATTCAGATTTTTTTTTTCTTCTTTTTTCAAAAGGATGTAAGTGTATTTTCACAACATTTTTCTCCTTTTCTTGTTTAGCACGGTACTTGCCCTATTTGTAGACAGCATTTGGGTGGTCAGAATTCAGCAGAAGTACACCAGGATACTGTAGGACGTAGCTTAGTCGCCCTCTTTAGGTATGTTATGTAATTTATTTATATAAAATTAATATTTTACCTTAAATGTAACAGTTACAAATTTTATCATTCAAATATGTAATGTATGTGATGTATCGAAACTTCGATATATGAAATTTAGATATTTATATTATAGAGAATATAAAAAAACTTATGAGCATATTTATATACTTCTAGGGCAACCAATGAATCAAACAGTACTAGAACGTCATCAACTTCATCCTCGAGTGGTAATAACGCCAGTAGTAATCCATCGAGTGAGATTTGAGATTGATTATCCTGTCTTAATATTTTCTCTACCCAGCAGAACACACAAATATACACACACAACACATGTCTATTTTTCACATTTTTCAAATTTGTTTTCCGGCACTGTTCGCTCGAGCAACGCTCATATATACTTCGTGAATATTGTATCTCGATACTAATATAAATTTCAAGCTTTATACTTCAATCGACGGTGTAATGCGAATCATAAAAAAATAATGCAGTATCAAATTACAACTTGCATGTGTTGCTTTGCATGGATTATAATGAGATATGATCATTAAAAGTCAAAAAAAGACGTGCGTATTCAAAGTTGAAATAATCCTTGTTGCTATATATATGTACATATTTATTTACGCGCGCGCTCGCATACACATAATTTCATAGTTTGCAAAAACGTGCAGTACATCACAAAGATTCCTAAACAAACTTGACCGAAATTTAAAAAAAAAAAAACATGTATGTTTCTTTATAAAAGTTTCAATTTGGATGTTTAATAAATTTAACGTAACATAATGTTTACAAAAAAAGCAAAAAAAGAAAAAAAGAGAGGAAAAACATAATTTAAGCGTAGGAAATGTGTTATACATAAAAGTAACGAAGCAAACGTTAGTGATTTCAATTTTGTACAGTTTAGTTGAAAATTTATGCACATAATTAGAACATCAAATCTCTTTTTAGCATATTCTTTTCACTTATATAATTTTAATTTTTGATGTTATTGAACTATGACATATATTTCTTTGAGTTTAAGAATTATTCGAGAATTAACTATTAATATTCTCATTTATATCATCTTCTTGGAACTAAATGTTTGCATCAGTATTACTTTATAAATTGTCAATGATAAATTATACTGGTTAATTGTACTAATTTATACTGGTGCATCAAGTACACATGAATAGAAGTTATGAAAACAGCAAAATGGAAGTTATGAAAAAAGAAAAGTAATGGACCATGACATCTGTGTACTTGTCTAAAGTAGTACTTTATTTTTGTTCTAAGATATGATCATATGCTATCCTATATAATTTATGTTACTCTTTTTATCATACAATCCTACATAAATATATTATATCATTTATTAGTTGTGGTATATGTCTTGTTATTTATCTTTCAATTGCTATGGGTTTGGTTCAGATACAAATTTGATCATTCATAATTCACAGTTGGTAATCAATTGAAATATCTTAGGTATATGAATATAGTAGACAAATGTGAATAGCATTTAGATACGATTGCGTATCATGTTAAAGTTTATAGGTTTCAATATAGTATACAATTCAGGTAATAACTACCTGGAATATTAATATACAAACACCTGAATTTGCCATATTATATAGTACATAATAAACTGTAATGTTATTGCTCTTATAGGTCAATGAAATTTAATTTGTTTTCATAATACACATAATAAAATATAAAGAGCACTTTAATTCTTTATGTTGTCTGTTTTTAAGTATGATGTGTGGGGAAAAATGAAAGATTGTAACTGAAAAAAGAAAACAATGTATTCAATTTACATAACTAAATATTATTTAACTGCAAGAAACATTGTAAACAAGCTTGAAAATAAATAAATGGTTTTTGTTTAGAACATCTAATTGCAACAAATATTTAACAGATAACATAAAAGTACATAATAGTAACGATAGTAGCAATAATAGTAATAGTAGAACCGTTGAAAAATATTTTGCATGTAACTAAATATGTAGAAGTTGTATAGATATTTTTAAAAGGACAAATTATATGATTAATTATATGATTATATGAAAAATTATATAAAAAATGGTAATTTACACTTACAGAAGTAATAAATTTTAAATGGAAATTTAATTGTATAAAGGAAAATGAAAAGAAATTGTCAAAACTATTTGATTTCTATAGGTTATTATTATTATTATTGTTTTTTTTCAGCGTATTATTATTGTTATTATTATTATTATTGTTGTTGTTGTTATTATTATTATTTATTATTATTGTTGTTGTTATTATTATTATTGTCATCATCACCATTATTATTATCGTTGTTGCTGTTATTATTATTATCATTAAGATAGTGACAAATTTTCATCTATACTCATTATCTTTGTAACGAATAACGTTAGAGTATTCGGTATCTGTTGTAACTTTATATAATTCGTACAGGTTAATCAGTATGTGATACACATATGCGCATGCGTGTGTACGATATGAGTATAGGTATATATGAGTATAGTATGTTTGTAATAATAAAATAATTCTTATAAAGTGCTATGTAATAATAAAGTGATTCTTATAAGTATAACAATAAAAACGAAAAGAAAGAAAAATTGATATCTTAACAGTTGTTAGATCGGATTATAGTTTCGTAAGTTGAATAATAAGGAAGCAAACTGAGAATGATCAGATTTAAATGCAAAATATGTTTAAACTAATAGTGTTTTTATGGTAAAATGAAAAAAAATTTAGTTAAAAATATTATATCAATTATTTAGGCTCCAAACCAAGAATTAATCATAATTACCTTTCTAAGAATATTTTTCGTTAATAATGTAAAATCAATTTAAACTTCAAAATTACATAAACATAATCGAACGAAACATGAAACATAACCAAGAAAAAATGAGTGCTTGAAATCTGTTAGTATTACGAGAGAGAAGAAAGCATTTTATGTTGTACAGTCTACACGTACGTACATATTAAGTGAAATGAATATTTTGATACATGTTTCAAATATTCGCAAGGGATGGCTGAAAAGGAGGCAAAGATTGAATACGTGACAGAACCTTGCCCTATTAAGCCTCGTAAAATAGGTCCACAGAATATAATTCTACGCTTAAAACGGCGAGAAACATTTGGTTGTCCTTATCCAGGAACGCATGTGCATAGTGCCAGACAATTTTATCAAAATGTATTTCCTAATTTTACTGTTATGAATGTTGAAAAACCTCCATGCTTTCTCAGAAAATTTAGTCCTGATGGTCGTTACTTAATAGCATTTAGTGCTGATCAAACCTCTATAGAAGTTTATGAATATCGTGGTGCATCAGCAGCTGCTGATTTATTAGCAAGTTGTGAAGGCGAATATGTTGGTCATGAGAATGATAAATGTACTTTTCAAATTAGAAAAAACATTTTTAGTCGATTTTTTAAGGTATATTATATTATTTTTAACTTTCTAATATGATTTATAAATGAAATTTTAAAGAAAATTAATAACAAGATATATTATGATATTTATAGGCTAAATGGATTGTTAATGTGGTTCAAAGCAATGAACAATTAAATAGAGAATGTAGTTTATTTACAGACGATGGCAGATATGTAATTGTTGGTTCAGCTGCCCATATACCAGATGAATTAAGACCACACTTTTATCAGGTAAAGATATTATCATACAACAGTTAATTCTTAAATTGCTTGTCAACATTAAATTTTATTTTTTAAGATTTATTCTAACAATGAAGCGCTGACTCCAAACCCTAGGTCACCGCTTGAAGATTATAGTTTACATCTTGTTGATTTACATGGAGGAAAATTATGTGATACTAGACATTTTAAAGTAGATAAAATATATTTGTCTCACAATCAGGGTAAATATTATCAAGTATATGACTATAAACAGATGTTTATTTTATTTATTCAGATTATTTAGTAAACATTTTTATTTATGTAGGTCTCTATCTCTATAAAGATATATTAGCAGTTTTATCAGTACAGCATCAGACCATTCATATATTTCAAATTCTCGATGGAATGTTTATCAATGTTAGAACAATAGGAAGGTACCACTTCTGTAAAAAGATATCTTTTATGTCATATTTGTTGCAATAAGCATTATTATATTGTCAGTAACTACTTTTAACTTGAAACAGGTTTTGTTTAGAGGATGATGCTTATTTAGTTAGAAGTGCATGTCCAGGTGTGAACTGTCGTCCATTTAGAGACGTAACAATAAACTGTCTTAAACATAAGTTATTGGTTTATTTGTACAAAAGAGCGACGTATATTAGCGATACAACGAGAGATCCATATGAATTAAGGCGTTTTTATCAATACTTTGACCAAGTATTGTATAAAATTTAAATAGTAATCTTAAGCATCAGAGTGTTTTTTAATGTATGCCATTTTAATAAATTAATGTTTCAGTTAAATGCATTACGAATGTGGAAAATGCAATTATTAGATACAAATCATATTCTTGTAAGATTTGCAAGTGAAGAAGTGGCGACACTTCAAGCAAATGAACCCAATGTGCAACCCGCACTTTTGGTGGTTTACGATATGGTTACTGCTAAAATATTAGCTGCATATGATAATACATCTACACAATTATTAACACAATTTGAAAACTTCAGCGATTTTTTCAGGAATGCGAGAATGAGTGGCGATTGTCAATATATGTGTTCTCCATCTAACAATATACATGCGAGGTATAGTATTTATGAGAATATAATATATAATTTACAAGATGTTCCAGTATTATAAGGTAAAATAAAATGTTCATTTTTTTATGATAAAATATATAGTTCATAATGTGAAATTATATTTCTAAAACATGGACATTTAATTAAATTTTGTATACTCATTTTTTACTCAAATTAAAGTAAGGGAACTAAATGTTTCTTTTCATTTATTATAATTTTGGAACATCTTACATAATTATTAAACAACCAACTATAGTAATGCTTCAGAATACAATTCAAACTGCTCTACATAACATAATTTTGTTCACCCTATTACATCTTAGAATCTGTTCATACAAACTAATCATTAGACCTGCACTTAATGCTTAAATTAACAAATACTGGGTCATATTTTTGATGTATGAAAAATTAAATTTCTATAATTTTTGTTTTATCACAATGTAAGAATGATTAATAAATTAGCGAGATTTTCCTGATTTCAATCAAATTGACTGAAATCAAATTTTATTTTTAGGATTAGAGTTACTACGCTCTTTAACAAGGAAAGCTTGAAGTTCACTACAGTAAAAATCATAAAGATGTAAACCTATTCTTACGAATATGTTAAAACAGAAGAAACAATTTATTTTCGAAATACAGGATAATAAAGACAGATGCAATCAAACTATAGACGATACAGCTCCACAAAATAGGACATTTCGGTTTCCATCCGATTATCTTTTGGGAAATATATTTCTGAAAGTTTAAATAAAATCCTTCCTGCAAGGTTACTAACAGTAACTATTTTCCACATAAACCCAATATATTTTTCATGTTACTTTTTCAAGTAATATTTTCAAGTATAACATAAAATATTATGACAGCACATTTCTACTTGATTATATGATAATCTTGAAAATAGTTCAATTTCTGTTGCATTTGAATATATATTAATTAGGAAAATCTTGCAGATTTATTAATATAATTTATATTGCGATAAAATGAAAGAATTATACAAATTTGATTTTTTACAGGTCAAAATAACAAAGCATTGTACAATGGTGAATTCTCTTTTCACTTTTCCTTGTTGTCCCCCTTTAATTATAAACATAAACATTGATACCAGTATAATTCAAATTTGAGGATTATTGATAAGAAATCATATCAGTGCTCTGCAAAATTTCACACACTTCTTCCTCAATTCAGTTACATTTTTGAAAGTATTACTGGAATGAGTTGATACATAGTAATTAATCAGTGTTACTTTATAATTGTATTATAGATTGTTACAACAGAGATTTAAGCAAACAATAATAAGTGCTAGATATGGTGGTGTTACAGAAGCTACAAAAAGATTACTTGCTCAATTGCCGATATGCGCTCAATCTTACTCTAGTTCTCCATATCTAGACTTATCTTTATTTTGTTACGATGACAAATGGGTATCCATGATGGAGCGTCCCAAAGCTTGTGGCGAACATCCCATAAGGTATAATTTTTATTTGACTTTTCATATTTGACTATGATCTGTAAATTTCGTTTAAGAAATTCCTACGACTTGTTAACATTTTTTTTTTCTTTTTAGCAACAATTAATACTTAGACACAATTATTTAATATTGCCTTATTGTTTTTAAAGGTTTTATGCTCGTGATTCTGGTCTTTTAAAATTTCGAATGTATGCGGGAATATTAGGCCGTACAACACCTACAGCTGCGAGACGACTGGTTGCATTTACCTTCCACCCAACAGATCCGTTTGCTATTTCTGTTCAACGAACAAATGCTGAATACATCGTTAGTTTCCATGTTAGGCATGTTTAATTTCTCAACGAAATATTTTTACATATTCCACGTTACATTTTTTCAATAAATACGATCTCATTGTACAGTTTTAATAATAGTTATTGTTAACATTTTCGAATTGAGAAATTTTCCGAAAAGTTAATGTAAATGTAAATAATTGTACTAAGAAAGTATTTTATAATTCATTAATATTTTCTCTGTTCTTGTAATGTTTTGTATGTTTAATCTTGAATCATTTACAATTAGAACTGAGTATAATCCAGAGAATACGTTTTATTATGTAAATCAGTATTATATGAATATTATTATAGGCTGTATAAATTATACGGAAATATTTTCACCTGTTTACTACATTATATAAGGCTGATTTACTTTATTACACGTACAAGAAATACCATTTTTTGCTGAAACTTCCATTCATCTTATAAAAATTAACGTTATACAGAGATTTATTATATCTGAATACAATATTGGTAGTGATTGCTCTGTACTGTATTTTTGTATTTTAATAATTTTAAGAAGCAAATTTAGTGTCTGTATTAACATTATTATTTATATTCATGCTTGCAAAATAACTTACTCATATTTGACTGAATGTTTATGCAAAATGAACAATAAGGCTGTAATATATCTACTGGATATTAAATGCCTCAAGTAATAATAACAATATTAATGAAGGTTTAATTTTTATTAAAGTTTTTCAATGCTTAGTATACATAATAAATTCGTTATAGTATAATGTTTAATATGTTGGAATTAGAAATTGTCGAATCAGGATTTGCCATGATGTATAATCAAATTTTATGCCAGTAATTCTATCATCAATAGAAAAAAAAAAAAATAACCTATTCTTTCATCATCATAAATGAACAAAGATATTTGAAATTTTTAGTATTTAAATATTAAATTGATAAGTTATAAAATAAACTGAATGAGTAATTTACGTTATTTGTACATAAATTCATCTAATATACGTATAAAAGTTTTGAAACAGTGCCATGGACATATTTTGTTATTTAGTAAATATTGGATTAATCTTGCTTTTTTGTGCTTTATATATTTCACATAATATAATATAAAATTTTAATATTAATAATAAGAATATATGAATGTGAAGAATATAAATTTATATAATTCTTTTTGCTTTTATAATACAGTTTTATTCTTGCAGATATATCTTGTAATACATATTGAAAACATGATAAAAACGTGAAGGTAGTCAATTTTTATAATATATTTGTTATATTTAAAAATCTACCGATGATTTTTTCATCTACTAGGGAAATAATAAGGAAATGTTTGTGGGAAAATAAAAACGTCATTTTAGAAAACTACTAAATTTTTTATTATATTAAAATTACTAAAAATGAATCTGGTCTTCTAGAAAAATTAGCCCGTTGTAAGATATTTCAAACCTTATTTATACTAATCAATAATAAGATGAAAACGTAATAAATTAACTTGAAAATAATTTAAATGCCTTGTTGCTTGTCGCAATTTGCCTTGTATAATAGAAAGTCACGTTAAAGATGTTATGTTATACCTTGAGAGAACATACCATAGAACCTTTATACTGTATTGGGTATATAATAAACTCAGAAAGTATAATTAACTGACTTAAAGAAAAAGCGAGGTGTCTTTTCTATACATCTCGCACTCATGGTTCGAGTTGCGGACAACAGTATGATAAAATATACTTTTTTTTATATTAATAATTTCACAATTTTCTTTCATTGTGAATATTATATTAATAATTTTTAAAAATTGACTACAAAATAAATTTGTATAGAAAATTTTAATATTTGAAATGAATAAAATAAATAGGGGAAATAGAACAGTTTTATGGGAAATATACAACGCCACCTATTCCATACGCTATATCGACTGTAAAGAAGGTATTGAAAGCTTGAAGAAGTCATGCGAAGCCATGCTAAGTTCTGTGTAAAGTAGAGTGCATGTTAGTTGAGCTGAATATCCTTTATACGTGTCGTGTATCTAGTAAATAGAATTTTTGATTTTAGTATATATAATTCAGTACGTAAAGAAAACAAAAGTGCAGTAAAGAAAGAATTGATTTCTGAGTTTTTATGTTTGCATTTCGAGGACGGCTAGTTTATATTACTTCGATCAAACAGATTACTTGAAACTGTAAGTAGCATTATATTTTACTTATTTTGTAACTATAACAATATGGTTAATATATCAACTATACATATGTAGGACAGTATTATTTTAGTCTTTCAAGGCAAATATCTTGAAATAGAAGATATGGAGACATATGTCAGAGAAAAGTTATAAGACATGAATGAGAATAAATCATACTGATATTTATTTAACATTAAATAAAGTGAAAGTTATCTTTATTTTGTGATGTAGAACATCTACTGAGCAATATGATATATATCAAGCAGTGGTAATGCAGATGACATCTTTGAAATTTCATATCTCGAGAATGACTTACGTAAAAGATACAAATAATTTTGAAAATGCATTGATATTAGCTATAAGAATACGCAGTATTAAATTAAAAATTAAAATTAAAATTAAAATTAAAATTAAAAATTAATAGAACTTTATAAAATTCATATAAGATTAACATGATCTGCCGCTTTTAATATCCTATAGTTTTTATTTCAAATATTTTTTTTCATATTTTCCATATATTTCAAAATTTTTGCTTGGTAAGATTAAAATTGCATATCCGATATAATAGAATTAAAAATTGAAATCTAAAAGATATTTATATCTATATTTCATGTCAAATGCAACATAAATTACACATGCAAATGAATGTAAATTACATATATACATAACCATATCTTAAATTGTAGTACAAAGATATATATATATATATATATGTTATATATTATATATGTTATAAAAATATAATACTTAGAGTTTTGGTAATTAATGTGTAGTTACTTCTACTTATATCTACTTAAATACCTAAAGTGATTGATATTTTTTCAGAAATTATAAAATAAAAGACTAGTATAATATTGTTAAAAAGTAATTTTTATGAAAAAACTCATTATAAACTCATTATTTAGCAGTTGAATTAAACCTTAAATTTAAGTAACATATGAAAGAATTTGAACTTCAAACCTTAAACATTAGCATGACATAAAAGAGTTACTACAGGAGAGATACTAATCATAAGAGAGGGAAAAAGAGTTATTACATATTATAGCATGAGAAAATTAGTATATAAAATATTATGTGAATAGAATTGCTTTCAAAATAAAAATATGAAGTATTTTAAAATACACACATATATAATATATATATATTATATTTTAATGTGTAGTATTGAATTTTGTTGCAGTGTCACAGAATGGAGATTATGTCTATTTCCGAAGAGACTTATAGTTAAACAAAATCATTCATTATTACAAGAATGTGCTATAAAATAATTTAAATACCAATTTAACATTGACATTTTCTAGCAATTTATTACAATTTGTCTACATACATATGGAGACAGAAATTTACAACCATATGGAGTTGTGAATGAAAGAGATTTTGCCATATATTTATATATATATATATACGTGTTAATCTTTATGTTTAAAACATATTGAATAAAGCTATGTTTGATGATTGTACAGCTGTTACAAAAATGAGCGTTGATAAAAGTAAAGAGGATTATGCTATTTGTAATAATGAATTGGATCAGAAATATTTTATTGCATGGAGCCCTTTAGAGGAGAATAAATTCTCATTTAAACATAGATATGTATCGTGTAGCAGATCTGTACCACATAAAAATAAACGTTTCGTTAGATACAGAATAAGTCGATCTTTGAATTTTGATGCAAGTGTTTGTAATTCCAGTTCAGAGAGCAGTTCTTTTGAAGAAGACAAACATTTGTCTAGATCTGCTAAAATAATGAGAGCATTAAATGCCAATAACAGTCCACCCTATTATGGAAAAACGAAGATAAAGAAGTCATTGAATTTCAATTTAACTCCTAGCCCGAAAAGGTTTAGACACATAAAGAAAGATATACGAAAATCTTTAAGCTTAAACTTCAATCCTCCGTTGTCTGTTTCTAACAAATTCTTAAGCTTTGATGACAATCCTAGTGATTCTGCAAACAGTAGTTTATTATTTTCATCTTCTGATTCTATCGATGAAAATCAAAATGAAACACCATCTCAACAAAATCCAAAGGAACATGATATGATACATTATTCTACACCTAATACCAAGTTGAGCAAAAAACCATTATGTTCATCTAATTTTACTCCACTGTTACGTAGTCGTTTAAAAGAAACTATTGATAATATCGTTTATGTTACTGCAACACCTAATTCACAGTCATTAAAGCGTATTAAGGGCAGTTTAAAATATACAAGTAATGTTGCCATGAATACTTCAAGAAATTTACTTCATGAATTTCACGATAAAGATGATAGTAGGCCATGTACACCTCAAAATTTAATTTGTTTAATTCCGGAAAGTATGAGTGCTATTAAAAGAAGTCACAAGAAGGTAAGCAACTAGAACTTAATGAATCGTTTCTCTTTTAATTAGAATTGTTTGTTTTTTACTTCTGAATAAAATAGGCTTTTCCCATGTTGATTTTATCACTAGAAAAGATCAAGATATTAATTTCTAGTTCTACACACGTTTTATACATTTAAGGTAGAGCATTCTGTGGAATGTAGAGGGAAGGGAATGGTAGATGTGACATGTGAGAAGCCTATATTGATTAAATAGTTACATGTATTAATTTAACATCATCGTTAATTTAAATTTTATAATGTATATAGGAAAGATCATCGAAACGAAATGAGCATTGTGCAACGCAGTTCACAAATAATTTTGTAAACGACGAAAACTTACTTCAGGATAGAACTAGACCTTTATTAACTCGACATAAGAAATATATCGATACGTTGCAAGATTCTAAATCGGATATAGATCGATGTAGTAATAAAAATTTCAATGTTAATGAATTGGCATCGAGCCATTCTGAAGACGATATGTCAGATACAGGTTCACTTTTCGATTATACCGAAGAAAAGGAACATATTTTAAAAGAATCAAAAATGTCTGATTGGTCATCAAACAACTCTAAGGTTGAATCAAAAATACATGAATTTGATGCTACAATAAAACCAGAGGGAAATATAATAGAATGTGTTTCGGAATTTCAAACTTCAGATGAACATGAATTACTTCAAGATCGTGATAACATCGACGCGAATAATTTGTCTAATAGGCGAATTGATTTAACGGCGAAAGCTAGGTCAACAACGCCAGAACCAAGAAAAGAAATTACATTAGATTCACAAAAATCAATTACTCCTGAAAATCGTATAAATATTTTGCAAACCATTGCTAAAGACTCTATAAAAAAATCTCATAAAAAAACTAAGGATGATAATAAAAGAAGGTTGTTCAGTCCAAAAGTTTTACAAGGCAAACTTAATGTTACCGAGGGACAAGAGAGTATAAAATCTTCGAAAAATTTTGAACAGCGTGAAAATATTATCGATGAAAGTAAAATGTTTGTAGAACAGGATTACCTTGATGCATCAATAGGAGAACGATCGTCTACTCCCGAGAAGGTGAATTCTAGCAGACTTTTATTGTCACAATTCAATTCAGTTAAAAAATCTCACAAAAAGGATAAACATAACAAAATATTATCTGGGTTTTTAAAACGGCAAGAATATTTCAACAAAGATATGGACGTAATATCAAATAGTAAATATAAAATGTTTAATATCGATGGTATATCTAAATGTAAAAACGGTGTGCAAGACTCGTCTTCAGATTTAGATGTTACTACAAATACTGGAGATTCCACTTCCTCAGCGACGAGCGCAAATGTAAATACGTCTTTAGATAAATTATCTCCAAGTAAAAGAAAGAAAGAACAAGATGTATCACTAGATTTTGAAAGGAGTATGTCATGTGATTCTGAATTACAAGAGTTGGATACCTCAAAAGAAGAATTTAAAATTTTTACACCTCTTAAAAGAAAAAAATCATTAATTGCATCTGCCTCTGATAAAGAGTATTCTCATTTTTACGATTTACCATACGAGAAAAATGAACTTTCAGAAGACATTGTTACAAATATTAGTTTCTCACGGTGTTTAACACCTGTACCAAACTTTCCAAATAATTGTGCAAAAACGAAAAATAATGATATTACAATAGATTCAAATGATAATGTTAACAATGAAGACATAGAAGAAGATTGCGACTTCGATAATGTAACAGGCAGGTTGACACCAAGGAATATGTCAACTACTGAATTATATCCTAATCTAGATTCCATTAAAAAATCTCATAAAAAAAATAAACGAGGAAATAGTTCACGACAAAGTAGAAATAACCAACACGAGGACGAAAAACATGAAATATCAGTGGAACATACGGCAAATGAAACATACAATCCATTAGAATTTTCAAATGAATGTATTACCGTGGATGATGTAATGAATAAATCGATTTACGATAAATTGATCAGTAACGATGACATCGAACGTCCAACAAATTTCACAATCGATGACCAAAACTGTGCGAGTACTAGCACGGAAAACATATTATCGACTGTGACACCGCCGAATTGTTTGAAAATGAAAAATTATATCAAAGTGTTACAGGAGACCTCTATTAAGCGATCACATAAAAAGGTTCGAGATAAGAGAAAGCAGGAATCAGTAGTTGATGCAAACGAGTTATCAGATGATGGATCAATATTTGGCAATGAAGAAAAGTTAGTCTCGCCCGGCGATAAATACACGCATGATTAATAATATTCGGCTTGGTGCAACGAACCACACTATCGTATTTTTTCAAAGATACCATATTGGTAAGTGTAACTGTAACAATTCACGCTTATGGTCAACGCATAAGGTAAACGTTGGACATTTCGTCTGTCTATAAACTTTACTGTACAAAAGGCATTTGTAAAATTTTCCTGAATCTTTTTTGTAACTAGTGGAGCGTACGTTTAACTAAATCTTAAAACTTTTATCGGTTAATTCAATCATCGTTTGGATGTTTTTACTCTGTAATATGATATTTTTATTCTATAAAAATTAGATTGGCAATATCGAATTTCATGTGAATTATTGTGAAACGAAACAACATGCTGATATTTAACGTCATAAGAAATACGTCGCATTTATCATTCATAGAAGTACATGTAATTAGTTTATGAGTAATGCTTATGTATGTATGTACACTGAAAGTAATATCGTCTCTAACTTTTGTACGATATTTATGTAACGGAACACTCAGAGATAATTTATTAAAAGCGCTCGCGTTACATGCAATTAAATGTATTTCGTATGTATTACAAAAATGTTAAACCTATGATAATATCATAGAATCATGTCTCACGTTGAACATGTGAACCGAAATTGAATTACATTAAGCCTGTGACACTATTTCTTAAATTTTATTTGCTTTCTTACAATTGCCTTGTTCTAACATATCCTTTAACGTTGTTAGCCAATGACACTTATAAAGTAATAGAGTGTGAAAATAAGGATTTCCTTTCTACTTTTGTCAGATATTTTGTCAGATGTTTTTCTAGTATAAACTTTGTTTATACTGCGCTTGTGTTATTCATTAATTCAGCTAAAGAGAGCACAGTATTTTCTGAAATGTTACATATTATTGACAGCGTATGATAACAGTGACTGTGAGAGACAAGAACGAGAGATAATATGTTCCGTGTTGTATATCGAAGTAATTATATTAAGGATACAAAACACGGTTTGTTCGATTAAGTTAAATGATAGTTTTTACAACAGTACGTTGAAATTAGCGTTAACATCAGCATCGGCCATTTTCCTCTTTTTTCTTCTCCTCTTGCTCTCATTTACCCGGTCTACTTTCCTCCTTTATATACAAATTTTGTTTCAACATTTTTTAATTTTCTTTATTTTTTCTATTCTTTTCTTTTCTTTCCTTTTCGTATTTAGTAACTCTTTAGTATCTCAGTTTAAAAATAATAACTAATTTAGTAAATACTTATAAAATACTTATAAAAATTAAATAAAATTATAGGAAAATAACGAGGAGTAAATTTCAGAGATATTAATCTTTGTGGCAATACGCGCGTGCATTATGATACTGTAGAGTATATGACAGCGATACAACGTAGATATCAACAGAGCGATTCTAATAGCTACGTTGTGCCTTAAGCGCAATTCTTTGCTTGTATTTTCTCCTAGTGTCTTCCTTTTCAAATGTATTCAACATTGAGAATGATAACATAGAATAATAATGGTTATACTTGATATACTTACATGTAAATTGATTATACATGCAATTTATGCATGACAAAAGAAGCATAAGTGTGCTCGAAGACGGCTGTCGTTTCTAGTTAATATCAGACACGAAACGATTGTAATATTACAAAGCCTACGGAACTAAGTAAAATGAAGGAATTTCTTTCAAATTATATTGCAATTGAATTTCTAAATAAATGTCAATAAATATCGTGTATAATATGTAACGAAAGATTAAATGATCAATTAAATGTATATATTACTATGTGATGCAATGTTAACTTTTTAACGTTTGAAACTTGTGTACACATGGGTAATATAACTGATTTTTCAATGCGTACGAATTAGAAATAATAAACGTCTGAATCATTGTTCATTCCTCATTGTTCGAACATCTTTGCAACGATAGCCATAAGTTATATTCTGCATTAAATTTTAATAACAATTTATATAAATATGTAAGTTACGTGTAAGTATCTATACTATGCATTTCTGATGTAAGTTTTCTCAAAATGTAACGTAATGTATGTTATTTGATTACTCATTGCTGAGTTATATGACAATAGAAAGGTGATTATAGCACAAACAAAGTAGAGAATTCCTTAAACCATGACGTTTTATGATCTCGCGTTTCTAATTAATTGTTTGAATATCGCTTTATATAATAATAAATAAGTAAATCAATACAAACGTTTATTAATAAAAAGAACTTGTTTATGATATTTAGTTTCAAAAGTTCTATACAAGTGTACTATTACATTATTAATACAATATTACAAAGGTAGACTGACATAATCAATTTTTATGTAAAGACACATCTAATGATTATTTTTTATATTTTTTTTTATTTTTCTACTTTACATATTAACACGTGAAACATTGCAGCTTTTGTAAATTTAATTCACCGTAGCATGTGCACAACAAATTTTAGATAATACCTTTCATTGTGTTTATCATTTGTCGCATTCTGCGTTATATAAATATTATTGTTGCTATTTTCTCATTGTTTAGAGATGAAAATTCATTGCATCTTTAGTGTTGTCTATATGTATACCTAACAATTACATTACAAGTTTATGCATAATTGACAATTTTAAACAATTGACGTAATATTTCTAACCAAGCAATTTCTTCAAAGCGTAGCATGTATGTTACTATTAACAATTTGTTAAGTATCTGTAGTTAATAAATTAGATCAACAAAAATAAAGTACTTTTCCACCTTGTTTTATTTGTAATTCAATATCACATCAATTTTTTTCTTTTTTTTACTATATTTCACAATATTTAAGCTACTCAGGAGTGAAACTAGTCAATTTCATTTTCTGAAAATTCCTTAATTTTAATATTAGATGTTATAATTAGTATTTAATTTTTCAAAAAATAAATGACTATTTTATTAAATATATTAGTTTGACTGGTGAGTGGTTTATTTAATGTGTATTTTTTAAATGTTCAAGCAATAAATATTTATTTTCATTATCCTACTTGTGTGATAAAATACAAAATAATTTGAAAAATCCTGCAAGTATTTTATAGCAAAAGAGAGAGATAATTGTGAAAGTAGTTTTTTTTAACAACAATATCAACAAATAATAATTTTCTTGAAATTTATATTTCAATTTCATTACGATCTATTTAAGTGTATTTATAATTTCTTATTACAAAATATTGATAACCTATGATTCAAAATCGAATACTTCATAGAAACGTGATGCGTATGTAGACGATAAAATATAGTAATTTAATATAAAAACTATTTTTTTTATATTGCTTAATATATATATGTGTGTGTGTGTGTGTGTGTGTGTGTGTGTGTGTGCGCGCGCGCGCGCGCGCGTGTGCATACACACATACACACACACATATATACACATATATATATATCTTAAATTATATTTAAAGTAATAGAAATATTAATATATGACGCAAGCGTAAATATAGCAGGTGAAATCTGTAAAAATTGAAAGAAGCATTTCGCGATAATAAGTTGATTTTTTAATCGTTTCAATATTTAAAAATGGTTATTATTGATTTCAAGTTTTAACGTGTGGATGTAAAAGTAAATGACATATGACGTTCAATATGTACATATTTTTATTTATCGTGGATGACCTGTTTAGTATCTGACAAATTTTGTTGGCAATATAAATGATTACGGCGAGGTAACGTGAAATAAACATGGGAAAGTTAAACGTGACAATTCTGCGATATTTAACTCGAGATGATTTTCGTGTTTTAACAGCGGTAAATATGTGTTACCAATTATATGCAATAATTAATTTAAAATTATATTCTGTTATACGTATAATTTCCATGTTATAGATATACAACACGGTTTGAGGTTATATTCAAATTTTAAGAATTTTATTTTTCGCTGCATAATATGTGTTGACAGATGAACAAAATGATTATTTAAATTAATTAATTTTCGTTAGATTATATTATCTACTTTTATTTGTTATAAATGAAGAAATGACGTGTAAAGAAGCATCCTAGATAAAGATATGCTTCTTTTGAGAAATATAACAATACTGTTAACATTTATTAGAGAATGGTTTGATATTTATTATTATAGATTGAGATGGGTATGAAGAATCATGAACTTGTTCCAGCATCATTGGCTGCTCAGATAGCAAACTTACGTTATGGCGGTGTTCATAAGCTATTAAAGGAATTATGCAAGCATAGGCTTCTCAGTTATGAACGTGGGAAACATTGTTAGTTGATACTTAATGTCATTTAAATAATATTAGATAATATAGATTAATAAAAAGAACGAAGAATAAGGCATTTACTTTATAATTTTAGACGATGGTTATCGATTGACAAATGCTGGTTACGATTATTTAGCTTTAAAAGTTTTGGCACAGAGAGGTACTATTGCTTCTTTTGGCAATCAGATTGGAGTGGGAAAAGAATCTAATATTTACATAGTTGCTGACGATGGTGGGAATTCTGTGTGTCTGAAACTACATAGATTAGGAAGGACTTGTTTCAGAAATATCAAAGGTAAAAGAGATTATCATCAACACAGAAAATCAGCATCATGGTTGTATTTATCAAGGATATCAGCGACAAGAGAATATGCATATATGAAAGCACTTTTCGATAGAGGATTTCCTGTACCCAAACCAATTGATCTCAACAGACATTGCGTTGTTATGGAGCTGGTTGAAGGTGGACCCCTGTAAGTAAAATTACTATCGCTTACAGTGTATTGTTCGATGCATTAATTAATTATATTTTGTTTTAGATGCGGTGTGTACGCGATAGATGACGTCGAGTCGTTATACGACGAATTGATGAATTTGATCGTAAAACTTGGAAATCATGGAGTTATTCATGGTGATTTCAATGAATTTAATATCATGATAATAAATAGTGGGAAACCAATTCTTATTGATTTTCCGCAGATGATTTCCACTGAGCACGTGGATGCTAAAACCTATTTCGAAAGGGACGTAAATTGTGTTCGTGATTTTTTTAAAAGACGTTTCGCTTATGAGAGCGAATTATACCCAACGTTTGAAGATATTTCGTAAGTGATGATCAAAATTGAAAATAGGACTGAAATATAAGTGATTTGAATTGATCGATTTAAATTATATCAATGAATTTATACGTAGGAGAGAAGATTGTATCGACGTAGAAATTAAGGCAAGCGGCCTTACGAAACAGATGGAGAAGGATCTTCTGAGGGAAATAGGTATGATTGAAGTTGAGGATGAAGAACTCGATGAAGAATGCAAGGAGAGTATGGAGGAAGTAAATCAAGGTACGGACACTGCCGGGGAAATCAGTTATTTGCAACTTCAAGTTGAGGACACTGTGAGGAATGAATTTACGTGTATATCGAAGGAATCTTTCATTGACGCAGAAATAAATATAAAGAGGAATTTAGTCCCTTTATCTAAAGATGACATTGTAGCAGAAGGTATTGAAAATATGGATATAGCAAGTAAACCAGTGAAAGGTGTGATAAATGAAAAGTCACACGATTTAAATGCAAAGCATAAAGAAGATATAATAGATTCACATCTTACCGCAGAAACGTTTGACTCGGAGGATGAGCAAGTAGGAAGAGAAAAATTTAGCGATTCCAGAAGTATGTACAGTAATACTACAGCAGCTACGATCGCTCCTGAAGTCATTAAGAAAAAGGTGAAAGTAGCTTTGCAAAAACGTGAAGATAGAGAGAAATCCAGAAGAATCCTTGTAAAAGGAGAGGCAAATGCGGTAACTAGAGTTAGAAGGGAGAACAGAGATACGATTAAACAATCGACAGGAATATGGGGTTGGGAATAAAAAATTATACATGTTTGTTACTTGAAAAGAAAAAAAGGAGGAAAAAACAAAATACAAAATGAAGAAAATAAAACGAAAATAGAAAATAACATATACATTAATGGAGTTTTAATCGTTTCTATTTTACGTTTTTTTTCCCCAAAGGAATTTGTGGAAATGGTACATAATTCTTTCAAATAGTTTCGGTGCTTAAAAAGAAAAGAAAAAGAAAAAAAAAAAAAGAACGAAAGAAAAGAACTTCAGTATTGCCTTTTATTCGTAGTAACTAGGATCGATAATTACTGTTGCACGATAATATAAAGATACTAGAAAGAAAAACGAAAATCAGATGAGAACGGATAAGATTCGAATCGTTATTCTAGTACATGTCACTTTGTATTTATCAGTAACACGTTTTAATTCTTTTGCATTCTTACTTATGTAACATTCGACACGGTAAAGGATATGTGTCTGTATGATTCTTTACCCTACTCGCACTCTCTCTCTCTCTCTCTCTCTCTCTCTCTC